CATTTATTATACATCTTGAATTAAAATTTCCTATTTAAAAGAGGATTTACTTGAGGGAAAGTTTAGGATAGAGCAAAAATTTGTATAAATGTTTATTCAATGATGTGTGAGAATCAACTTTTTTCCCCTTATTACCAAATATAAAAGATATCTTCGCTTAGTACAGAACTTGAGTAAATTAAAGAATATGTTTGCATTGTTGTCACCCAAATCATGTCCCTTATTTATTAGATGCATATGGCCACTTTTGCTGCTTGCTCGCAATGTGGCTTTTGCACCTATGTGATGGATTAGTTTAAGAATTAGTGACTTCTAAAAAGAGATAGTGACTTCTAAAACACCACAATGAAATTTTTATTTTAGCATAGATTTGCACCTTGGTTCCCCTTAATCTATTTTTGAATGCCTTCCCTTGCTTTTTTCTTGATTTCAGGACAAGGACATAGCAATTTTCATACTGTTTCAATATATCAAATTCTATGTCATCTTTTTTTAATAAGGAATTCTCTATTGTTTTCTAAATGCTGATACAAACTATTTTTGTTTATTTTAATGTGGGCTGATATTTGTTCATAAAAGAGATCTCATAAAGTACACCACGATCATGATTACAAGATTTGCTCCTCATGATCTCATATTATCTTGGACACTTTTTTGAAGATAATGTTGTGTATTAAAATGTGTGCATGACTGTGTTTCAGAATTTCTGGAGAAAAGCCTGACATCTGAGTTATCATTATGATTTCCAATGAATCTGGTGTGCAAATCTGAGTGCAAATATATGTTTCAGTTTAAATGCATTATGATGATACCATTGTTTGATGTTAAAATTGTATTTGTCAAATATGTAACTTCTATAAATTCTGTAACTACAGTCCATGAAAATATAAGGAATGACTTTACAAACCCCTCTAGTGAATCTATATCCCTTGGAAATATAAAAACCAACTTTTTTTTGTCTTTCTTAGCCTACAGAACATCATGTGCTATAGAATGTGATACATTATACTATGTAAATTATTTATTACAGACAATTGCTGTTTAACAGATTTCTCAAGCAATGTAGAATCTCGTTGATGATCGGAATTGTTATTTTTCACGTTCTGGAGAGTCCTCTCTGATTTTTTAATCTTTGGGTAGAAGTGATGCTCTTGGAAAGCAGACCTGTCTTTACCAATATAGAATGCTTGACAATAGCAGCCAAAGTTGTATTCAGGTTGACAAGTATGCTGGTCACATAACTGATTTAATCTCTCTACTAATTTGATGACTAATTTGATCATTTCAAAGGAAATCTTCACTCTGGGAAGAAACTTAAAACACTGTGTTATACAAAAAAATCAATCCTTGCATAAAATGTATTCCTGTGTCTTCATTTTGCATGTTTCTGTAATACAGCAGGACTCTAATGAAGAAAAATGACGAAATCTGTTACCAGGCTATGTTTTTACTGGAATTGGTTTTTGAATTACTCTTAAACCATAACAAGCTCATTTCACTATAATACTGTAAAATTCTAACCAACAGACCGAACACCACATATTTCAATATTGTTTCCGAGTCTGTTAATTATAGATCATGCAATATAAAAAATGCTTATGAGTCTATTATTTTTTTCCAAAGTTTGCTGAGATGAGCTGTCCTTCTTCCCTTTTTTGAACTAGTGAGACCAAGCTGTTTGCAAATGTTTCTTAGGTTTGCATTTATATTCATCCCAAAGTTGTAACCTAGAGATATTTGGTATTTGAGTATAATGAGTAAGAAATTTGGGGGCAATCCTGTATAGGAAATAATGTAAAGTAATTTGCTAAGTTGGCATGTATTTGGTTTTTACTCTGGGACGTCAAAAGAATAACTCACCTGGGATTCACCTGTTCCATGTACTGCTCTATTCTCTTCCCAATGCCTTTGAGTTCAAAACCATCTCCAACTTTTGGTACCATTTATGGAAACCAGTGCCACTAATGAAAATCATACCTATTAACTTGTGGCATTGTTAGAAAAAGGATAACTATTCAATAGAGCCTAATGTTTTTGTAGCTTTCTGTTCTACCTCCTTTTATAGCCAATTAAGAGGGTGTTTTATTTCCCTCATTAAAAGTGCAGCACCAGTTGCCATACTGAATTGCTAAGAATGAGCTTGCACATCCTGCATGTAACCTTTTCTTAAAACACGAGAGCCTTTGTCATTTTTACAATAAAGCTCTCCAGTTTTACGGATCGATATTTTTAAAAAATGATCTGGCCTGAGAATCATGCACACAATGTATACTCATTAATTCCAAGATGTTATGTGCTGCCCATTTCTCGTGAAGGTGAATTTATCTACATTACATTATAACCTCTTCAGAGAAAAAGGCCAATCTTTTTCATTTTCTTTTCCTCTTTTGCATAACCACATTCTGCCTTTTTGAATTTCCCCAGATAGTGGCAGCAAGTAAACTAAAAGCAATAAAGTGGCTGCAAGTATCTACTCCTGGCTTACCTTGCAGGTTTAGGACATTTGAGAAGCAAATGGAGTCACTTTCGGTTAGTTCTTCCATGGGCTGTAGAAAACATTTAGAAGGGATGCTTTGCAAACTGTGTTGGTGAGAGATAAAAGCTCTTTTGAAAAATTTAATGCAACTGCATCCTGCTTCAGGATAAAGTCTTTAAGAAGAGGTTGGATAGCCACTTATCTGAAATGCTATAGGGTCTCCCGCTTGAGTGGGAGGGGGGTTGGACAAGAAGACCTCCAAGATCCCTTCCAGCTCTATTCTGGACTGACTGACTGACTGACTGACTGACTGATTGATTGATTGATTGAAGTTGCTTGAGCATAGAGAGTACTGCTGCTGGAATTGTCAATGTAGAGAAATAACTGGGTATGCAGCAACAGCCACCCAAAGTTACTTGATAATAATATGGGCAGCGTATAAATTTAATAAATCAATAACCAATCATGGGCTTCAAATCAATAAAATGAATTTTGAACCTACTTTGAGAACTTGTTTTGTAAAGCTCCACTTTCAAATGATTGTTCAGGTCTAGCATTTGCCAACAGCATTATTTGAAGTTAAATGCTAAAGAAACTACAATATGATGTGTTACTATTATTTTTAATTACACTATAGTAATAGTTGATATGGCCTACTCTGAATTGTGGAGATCTTTTTTCCCATTCTCAGTACTTACATGGAGAAGCATCCCACATTTTACAACACAAATAATTTTAAAAAAGCATCTGGGCCCTCACTCACATAGTGGTGACCACCTTCCCAAATATCTCTGTCCTTCACTCAAGGCATAATCCTGGAATACTCACTGCTTCTTTCCTAGGATGCTTCATAGGTCACAATTCATGAATTTCCTGAAAGAGATCTGATTTTTGATAGGTGAAAAAGTTCATTACCTTGAAGAAAAAATCTACTGCTGATTTCCCTGAGCCTATGAATCCTAACTTCTAAAAACACTAGAGTAGTTTAAACATTTGGTAAAGTAGGTATCATATTGTTTGATATTTTCCACTGATATATTTTCAAAGTGAATTATAATGAAAAAACAAAGAATAAATAATCAACTTTTCACTTCTTAATTAAAGTAATTATATATGCATTTATCTTTAATGACAACAAAACATTGATAGCAATTAAAGGTGGAAGTCAGGTTGATTTTGTTAAAAAATTGTTTCAGACAATATTTTCTATTGCAATAGAAATAAGTAGTGGAATAATTCAAAGGGCTAAACAGAAATAAATTTTCTTAAATCTAAATATTGAACCATGACTCTTAAAACCTGTTATTTTAGCCAAAAATTTAGTAATGGCAGAAATACTGCATTTCATGGTTCAGATTAATATGGAAAAGAACTAGAATGTAAATCTGCATAAGACATTTCAGTCAATAGTTGTCAGAATTGTTTGACAAAAAATATAGAGAATGACAATATAGCTTGGGAAAAAGTAGCAACATAAATAAAGATTCTATAGTTAATAAATAATATGGTGCAAAAGAAAAATCTGAAATATTTAAATAAACACAAACATAGTAGAACCTCAAGATCAAACTATATGTTATGTCACATCCATTGATATAGTCAAGATACCATTTTTCCTTCTTTAAAAATCATTTTGAAAAAATATGAGGGTAGTAGACAAGTGGCTTTGAAACATATTCCACTTTTATTGATTTCCCAGACTCATTTTATTCCAGGCAAATATATATTAATATTATCCATCCAGAAATAGTCATATCATGGTGCAAGATATAATATAACTACTATAGACAGTAATTTTTTTAGCATCAAGGAATTGGAAGATACATCCCATGCACTTTTTCACCCTCTGGAAACTGCATGAAATAAACTAGATTGCCACAGGAACATAGTAGAACAACATCTGCAAGATCTCAATATGGATGCGATTGTTAAACCTGATTGCTTTTGATATGTATTTTGTGTTCAGCACTTGGGGAAAAAATGGGACTGACATTGCATGTCTTACTGCATTGTACCTTTTCCTCCTTCTACTTCAGTAAATTAGGAAAACCCACCTGATCTACTTCTGAACGTTATCTCATTCTGGACTAAAAAAAATAATTCAGCCCCCTTTGCCTCAATAATATCCACATCTCCGTCAAGACAATCTTTATTCTCTACAGGCTGATTTTTTTTAATGCATTGGTTTCATTGGAAACTTGGAAGCACTATAAACTGAAAGAATTTCAGAATAATCTAGAGTGAGTAAATATAGTCAACTTTTTGAGATTAGGTCTGTCATATTAATAGGGGAATTTATTTATTCACAGTAATGATGGTGTGATAGGAAGAAGTTGTTCCTGGCTATTGTTTCTAACACCATGGGATGATCTAGGGGTACAACTCAGTGCCTTGACTTGCCAGAGAGTCATAGGTATTGCGGTAGTGATCTGATGATGTAGCGCACTAAATGAGTCAAATATTATTTGGAGAAAAGGCTTCAGACCTCATATGACCATAGCATCTCTCTTTGTTTGTCTTTAAGGTTGAAAAAATGCCACTGCTTTAAGGAAATCACTCAGCAATTCCTAAAGCTATAGGAGGATCCTTTCAGCTTGTACAATGAAAAAGGGAGGGGCTAACTGATGTTATTAACAAAGAGCAGTGAAGATCTCGGCTGTCTGAAACTCTTATTTTGAGCCATTTCAAAGAGTGCACAATCACGTTGATCATATACTTAACTAAAAGGAAAACTTAATTTTATCTTGAATATGATAAAAGGTGATAAGAGTGAAAAACAATTCTGAACCACAATGAAGAACATTACACCATCCAAGTGGACACTATCAGATATCGGTCTAGAGATGCCTATGGCCCTTGGACTGTGGGTTTCTCTCTTTTCTTACTGAGCAGCTGGACATACCGCCAAACAAAGCAAGGTAGGATGTCTATCTTTCCTTAATATTTTCTAATGGAGTCTATGTGGGACCCAGATGTATTCTTCTGATTGAAAATAATGCTAGAAGCAGAGCTTTGGTTGCTGCATGCTAGTTAGATGGGGCAGAGAGCCTGACAGATGCCAAGGGAAACATCTATAAACACTCTGGTTGGGTGGGCACTATGTTGCCTGCGTCTGGATTATCAGTACAAAGGTGATATTATCATTTCACAGGATCAGACTGACAGACAATTTTTATGAATCTCCAGCCAGCTGAGAGCAACTTTTGTTTGGCATCAAACAGATTCCCTTGCAAGGGATTACTCAGGTAGCTGGCTCCATCAACACAGCCTTCACTGCTCTCAGTAAATCTACATTTCCCTTAACACAATTTTCATAAAATTCATAGTGAGTGAACCAGTAGATAGGGAAGGAGAAACAAGAATTATTCATGGCTTAAATCGCTTATCACAAAATGACACATTTTCCTGCAAACTTACCTGGGTAGCTTTTTTTAAAAAAATGTGAATAAATGTATTTGTTTATAATCTAAGCAACAAGTGACTTTCATTCAGTCTGTTGGGGTTCGCCCACTCCCAAGAAGTTGAGTTAAATTCAGAATATCTGATTTGCTGCTTTCAGAGTATGTTTTGCTCAGTCTGAGTAAAAAAGGATGAAACTATCCACCTGGGAGGCAGTTCTCTGAAATTCACTGCAATCAAAGAGGATTGAACAAGATTTGATAAGCTCTGAGTAAGCATCTGATTGAAAAACTCTTTTTAAAACTGGAAATGGGAAAGTTTGCTTATGACAATCTATAATGCTGATTCAGTTTTGTGGTAGATCCAGCTGCAAGAGAAAATCAGTAATGATTAGAGAAAAACATAAAAAGCAGTTTTGAATTCAGATCCTGTTAAAGGAACACTCAGAAGTTCAATAGAGACCTAAAGTTCAGCATATATCCCAATTTTTTAAATGTTAATCCTAATTAATAAAATTTATTTGTAAGTAATTCCATAAATTACTGGGTAATCTAAAATTTGGGGTTTTTTTCACATAGAATAACATACAATGGTAAGTTTTTTTTTTTTTATCCTTCCCAGATCTGGTTTCTGAATGTAAAACTAAATAAAGGCTCCGTAGCATTCCTATGTACGTACACAGTAGTTTCTTTTCTTTTCTTTTTTTCTTTTCTTTTTTCCTTATGAAATTAAATCCATGCTATTTGTTAATTTTAGAAAAGCCCAATATGGTATAAAGGGTAAAGAACTGAATTAAGACTAGGGTAATTCAGGTTCAAGTTCACCACTTAGCTCCTTAAGTGATTTTGGGCTAGTCTTATTTCAGATAAACCAATTATGTGGTAGTTCTCATGAGCAAAATTGAAAAAAAAACTAAAAGGGAGAAAGAGAGTGCAGTGTGCAGCATCTTAGGCTCCTGGAGTGAAGATGGAATATTATTCTCATATATAGATAGATAGATAGATAGATAGATAGATAGATAGATAGATAGACAAGCAAACAAACAAACACCTGTGGTATCTCGATACTTGATTGCTTTGAAAATCATCAAATTTCATACTTGACACATTTTGAAGTGAAAATTTTGTTCTGTTACTTGTTTGATAGTCAATGAGCAAACTAGTAGTTGTTGGTATCAGCTGCCTTATGACATGCCATTATTTCCAGCTGAAATAAAGGGTCACATGTTAGCTAGGTAGTTTTTTGGGTATTCATCGGTTATAATACTCTTGCATCTCCCTGAACCAATTAATGATGAGTACCGAGATACCACTGTACAACAATAAAATGCAATACTTTTGTGTTCAAGTTGCACTACATTCATCATTTCTTTTTTAAAATAGCAAAGGAATTTGGTAATGTGAAGTGTAAGAGCTACAAAACAAAGATTCTGTGTTAATTACTTTTTTTTTCAGATTGTAGTCTCAGTTTATCAGTAACCGACTCAGCACAGTAGACTGCAACAAAGGTTCAAATTCATTGCTTGAGCTGAATAATAATTGGGAATGAAGAGTGACATTTTTGTATTTCCTCCATAATCTGGTGGGCCCACAAGTGAAGCATTACTAGGAAGTAGGTGAATTAATTTAACAAACAGAAGTTGACAAAAACAGTGAAATATTTTTATTTTAAGTTATCTATAAAGAATGCCTTGTTCTATTTATAGTTGACCCTCTAAGTAATATTTTCATCTTCTCAGCAATCAGAGTAAAAGTAAAGAAAGCTTAACATAGAAGAGCAAGTCAGTGTTTCTTGCATTCTTCAGTGCTTTAAATTTAAAGTGCTTTAAAGATTAAATTATTCTTTGCTTTGGCCTTATACTTGTATAAAAGCAGAACAAAAAACTTAATTTTAAGCCTGAGAAATGAAAGTCTTTAATTATTTATAGCATTAAAATGTACAAATGGTTGATCAATGCACTTGAAAAAAAATCCACATTAACTTCTGAAGGTTTTCACAGTGTTCTAAACTTCATGTCACAGAGATAGGGGAGGAAAAGGATAATTATTAGATGGAGAATTGCATTTTAATAATTTCCAGATGCTAGTAATGCGGCTGAAAAAAACAAGGAAATTCAAAACTTAGTTGGTTCGGAAGCCCTGTTCTTCCCAGGCATAGAATAAGAAATCCTGCACAACAGTTCATAAACTCCTAAGATACATTTCTTCTTATCCCAGCTTCACCAAAAAGGAAGAAAGAAAAAAGAAGCAATAATGTATCTTAGAAGTACTTAGCTTATGTTGATACAGAGTCTTCTACAAGAATAAAAGTAATATTTCCTTGGTTTATATTTTAATGTAATTATACTAAATTCCACTATGCAAACCAATATGCAGGCTTAAAAATAGACAATATTCCTCTGAATTGTGCCTGTTTAACAAATCATACAAAAACATGTGCATTGAAAATAATTTGGCTATAAAAACATGTAAGAGGGGCTGTAGTGAAAATGCAGGTAAGAAAATGATGCATGCTTCAGCACCTTGATTTTTTAAGTATCCTATTTTGAATTATCCTTTTCTTCCTCCCATATACACCAATCTTTACAGAAAGGGTTCAGAAAACCTTGTCATTCTTGATAGTTTTATAAACTAAGGAAGTTTATATTTGCGTATGTGGGAAAACAAGTGTAGAATTCTATGAACTATATATGTGGCATGAAGGAACAGGACCACACATCAAGTTCCAGTTAAGAAGATTTATTGCTCAAGCCTATTCACAAGAATCTAGTCAACTAACAGTCAGCACCAAATTGGCGCTAGATAAAAGTTAACGGAACTCAAGGGAGAACTAGACATAGAACACTTATGGGAACATAATGACTCCAGACTGATTCCTCTCTTGACTCCACCCTCAGGCTCTGCCTCTTCTTTTCCTGCAATATATTGACAAAGGGAATAGAAAATGGCAAATAATTCTCAAAACCCAGGAAGAAGTGGAGGAACTATAAAAAATGTAAATAATTTCATCCATTCCAAATCTATAGCAACTTTCATAAACATTGAAAGTATAATGCTTAGGTTTAGATTGTTTCCACATCTAAAGAGAATAAAGATGTAGAGGATTGTTGTTTTTTTGTGACCGACATGCAGTAATCAGGAAACTAGTCTCAAGAACAAAATAATCTTTGCTGAATGGTAGCATTTTAGACAATCTGTAGAAGAAGACAAATGCTTGAACACCTTAATCATATAAATATGACTTTAAATTAATATGTCAAACCAACCTTTTAAAAAGGGAATTCAGTTTGTAGTCTGGGACTTCAGAATTAATACAGTGAAAGCTATCTATGTAGCAAAAGTGATTATAGATACTGCCATGATTGGATCCATATTATTTTGAAAAGAGAGCTATATTCTTATATTCCCTTCGTATGAGAATAGCAATTATCATGTGATATACTACACAAACAGAAGGTTTTATGTGGATATTTCTTAAACTCAAATGAGATATATATCACTATCAGACTATACTTGTCTCTGAGGGAAAAAATAGAGTTTTTTACAAATTTGGATTTGAAAATCAATTCTTTCTTAATTATTTTTGCATACACAACCACACCCCACATACACATATACATGTATGCATATACATACATACATACTTACAGAGAGAGAGAGAGAGAGAGAGAGAGAGAGAGAGAGAGACTTCTATCGGTTATTATAGAGATCTAGATCGAAAGCAAATAAACAATGATGATGGTGGTACAACAATTACCTGATGTATAGAGACATTCCATCCTGTAAGACAGATTTTTGCACCCTGATTTTCTTCAGATGTTATGGGAGTATAAGCAGTGGAATCAGACCTAGTAAATGTGGAAAGAAACTAAGTTTGGAAAGCTGAAAATACTCCAGCACTCAGATCTTTCTTAATAAATTGACTTCTTTCAAGGGCACAATTTCCAAGGTAAACCAGAATCAGCTATGTAGCTATAAGCAATATAACCAGCTGCAGAAGTAAGTGGACCCACAATTCTACCCAAAATGTTATTTGAGAAAAAAATATATATAGGCCCAACTTTAAAGCTTGGGGCAGGCAGTTTCCAATTATGCCCGGAATAAGACCTTAGATGTTAAGTCTGTTGTAGGAACATGATGGCGATGGTGATGAAAGGGAGCAACATCAAAAGTGTCAGCAAGAGGAGAAGGCAATGGCATATCGGTGCAGAAACTACATGCATATTTCAATTGGTTGTGTGACTGTGCTACTAATTTGGAAGGAAGAAAAAGTGCAGAGAACAGCTTTCCATAAAGCATGCAAAGTATGTGTAGCTGGAGAGCTTTTGCTTGGCACAAAAGTCAGCTGTACTGAAGAAACTACTTCAAGCAGTAGTTTAGATTATGAATTAAAATGTGAAGACAAAGGTGATCTATGAGACTTGGAATCCATTTTCTCTCACAAATACCTAAGTCAGAAACACAGAGAATGGATGCTGCAGTTAAGAAGAATGTACAGCTGCATTTTTAATCTGGCACATATAATATTTTTAAACCAAACTATTAATCTGTTATAGTAGTAAGAAAAAAGTTTAAACAATTCTACTAATAAAATTTACTAGATTAATAAGGCGGAGTATTATGTGTAAAATGGCATTAAATATTTACAAATTCTTTTAATAAAATAGTAGATTAATAAAAATACTTATTAAATATAAAATTTTAATTGGGTGCAGTTCATTGGTTTTTAATGTGACAGTAAGTACGAGACCTGTGGAAACTCAAATGTGTAGCTATTGGGTAAGAAATCTGGAGCCAAAATAAATTCTTTAATACACTGTGATAACTTCCTTACCTTAGTCATATATTAGAATCTGTTTACTTAAGTAAAAGAATACTGCAACAGCATGTCGTTAAAATATTTAAAGTAAGTCAGGATTTGAGCTCTTATATTTTAAATAGTATAAATAAGTTTAAGCTGTTGTAAATAACACAGTCCCATGGCATGCTGAAAAGAGATTTTAACATCCTTCTGTATTTGAAGTAGGTGCGGTATTCTGACTGAGAAAGAAAAATAAAGGTTGTATTTTCTAAAATGGAACACACTCCAAATTCCTTTGGATGGGGTAAGGTTGAAAAGTCATATCTGGAAGGAATTAAATGATAGAGAATCACTGGTTGTTCTCAGAAGAGAATGAACCAGATCAGATTTCAATTATGATCAGCCCGAATAAGAGCCATTCACAGGAAAGTGTTCATCCAATAGAATAAAATATGTATCATATAACTATGAACCACATAAACTGGTTATCTAAACTTTGTCCAAGACA